CCCACTTTCCTTGTTATTCAGTATAGATTCTGTAGTCCATGATTCAACCCATTAACCAAATTCCTTAACTCCCTTTGACTGTTTAACATTCATGTGTCACTTACATTTGAATAGTGACTATATACTGATTAGCTTTTTCTCTTCACAGCAAAAAAATGTTCTACCTCAGATAATCACAATGTTCTGAGCCTAGCGTGCCACCTAATTGGTTGTCAAGTGGAATTACCTGACCTACCTTCTCCCCATACACCCCCGTCTCCCCGCCCCCCCCCCACACACTCTCCCACCCCTCTGGGACCTTAATCTTACCCCCAGTGTTCTTTCCTTTATCCTTTGTCATTCGGTCCTAATTGGGAACTGCATCAAAAATATCTAACCCACCAAAAACTGTTTAAAAAGAAGAGAAAGGAGGGAAAGTAGTTAAGAAAGAGAAATATAGATAGGGTGAATTTGATCAATGTACATTGTATGCATGTTGTAAATATCACAATTTAACCCCTTTTTATAATTAATTCAGGATAATAAAAAATTTTAAATGCAAAAAATATCTAGAGGGGATTATATAATTTATGGATATATCACATTGAAACCTCACATTGCACAATTAATATACACTACAAAAACTATCTCCTTTAATGATATCTTTTCATTTCTCTTAAAATTTTGCCATATTTTAAGAAAATCATTCTTTCCCTTTTTTTCTGCAGTAAAGTAGAAACATTTCAATTGTGGCTCTTGTTTTAAAGTAGAGGTAGATACAATAAAATACTCATTTAAAGGACTAACAGGCTGGGTGCCATTGGCTCATTCCTTTATTTGAGAGGTTGAGATAAGGAGGATTGTGTGATTCAAGCCAATACTTCACAAGACCCCATCTCCAATATAGCCAGAGCAAAATGTGGCTCAAACAGTAGAGTGCTTGCTTTTGCAATCATGAAGCCCTGGGTTCAGACCAGTCCCACCAATCAATCAGTCAAGGAATAAATAAATAAATTTAAATAAATAAATAAATAAATAATAAAGAACTGACAAATTCCTTTAGGAATTAGCAAAAAGACAGGTGCCTTGGTTTACACCTAATCCTAGCTTGGAAAGTGTAGATTGGGAAGATTACAATCGAGGCCAGACCAGGCAATCATGCAAGACCCTATCCAGAAAATAACTAAAGTAAAAAAAATAAATAAAAAGGTGTGTAGGGGGGGAGTGGGAACATGACTCAAGTGATAGTGTGCCTAGTGCCTTCCTAGCAAGCCTAAGGCCCAGAGTTCAAGCCACAGGGTTCCAACACCCCGAAAAAAAAAATCTAGCAAAAGATCTCTCCACCTACTTTCTCACGTTCCTTGGCTTAAATATTTTTCTTCTGGTAAAACATTTATATAAAATAAACAGTACATTCTTCTCCATTATATGTAAAATTTATAAATCTTTTTCATTCTCAGTATCTTTTGTTTCAAGTACATTAATGGTCAGATATCAGGTTCTTTACCTAGTCTACAAATATATGGAGCATTTATCAGTACATATGAAAATTTTTCTTGGATTCCTTAAGGAATCCAAATTACAAATGCTTAGTTGTACCTACGGAATTTCCTATTTCTTCAAACTTGCAGGTCTTTGCTAATTAATTAATGAAATTACAGTGAGAAGACTGATGATATTGTACTTAGTATACTTTGTATTATGTCTTACTGTGTCTCTTTGAAAATTGATAATTTACAAATACTAAGTAGGAATATTCTCGACTAGTGTATTTGATTTTATGCATTAATTTATTCATGAATTTTAACTTGAATATAAGAAAATATGAATTAATGATACTTACTTGCTGAACACTCTCACACAACTAGCTATATGCTAAGTTAAAGGATGTAGTGGTTTAAATCACTATAGGAAAGAAAAGAACACTTTAGCCCAAAAAAAGAAATGCAAATCAAAACAACATTGAGATTTCATCTCACTCCAGTCAAAATGGCTGTCATCAAGAAAACAAGCAATAAAGCATGTGCCTTGTAAATAGCCCTAAGTTCAAACCTCAGTATACCAATTGTCAAAAAGAAAACAAACAACAAATCCTGGCAAGGACGTGTGGATCGGAAGAAAAAGGAACCCTTATACACTGTTGGTGAGAATATAAATTAGTGCAGTCACTGTGGATATCAGTATGGAGGCTTCTCAAAAAAACTAAAAGTGGAACTACCACATGATCCTGCATATGAGTCTATAGTAACTATTCTTGGATATATATCAGAAGGAATGTAAATCAGCATACAGTGGAGAGATCTGCACACCCATGTTTATTGCAGCACTATTCACAATAACCAAGCCATGAAATCAGCCTAGGTGTTCATCAACCAATGAATGGATAAAGAAAATGTGTATTCTTTATTCAGCCGTAAAGAAAAATGAAATTATGGTGTTTGCAAGAAAATGGATAGAGCCGAAGAGCATCATATTAAATTAAATAGTTAGATTCAGAAAGACAAATATCACATTCTCTGTCATAATGCAGAATCTAAACCTAAAATAAAATGACATGAATATAAAATGGAAACTGTTGGATGAGGTGGAGGGGGAGTGAGGAAAACCATGACAGAACAGAGGAGTGAATATGATCAAAGTACATTACATGGATGAGTGAAAATAGAATAATGAAATCCATTAAAATTGTTAAAAAAAAAGGTGGAGGGGGGAGGACAAGAAAGAGTGGGGGGAAGTAAGCATGATCAAAGTGTATTATATACATGTATGGAAATACCACAGTTAAAGTCTTTGTACAGTTAATATATACTAATTAAAACGCACAGAAAAATATGTAAATAAATAAAAGTCAATCTTACATTTAAAAAAAAGAACATTATAGCCAGGCCGTGGTGCATGCCTATAATCCTAGCTACTCGGGAGGTAGCGGTCAGGAGGATCACAGTTGGAGACTGGGAAATGGTTCCTGAGACCCTATCTCAAAAATACACAAAAAAAGGGCTGGCAGAGTGGCTTAATTAGTAGAGGGTCTGCCTAACCAGCATGAGGACCTGAGTTCAAGCCCCAGTACCACCCCCCCAAAAAAAAATACTTGTAGTCCTTCTACACATGATATCTTTTTAGAGATGTTATATGTGTTACTTAGAACAGGTTTCTGAGAAAATAATAATTTCAAGTGATGAGCAAAGGGAAAGAAAATTGTGTTTGCTGTGTTTAGTTCTCACTCATGAAAATAGCCAAATTACCAAAGCATTATAGATTTATCATTATTTTTAGTACTCTTGTTATTTGTAGCATAGTATTAAGTATATAAAAATAGCACTTAATGTTTTAATCAAATTATAAATTAAAAATACTTGACTTTCAGTGTTACTTTCTTTGCAAAAGTAGTCTAGAAGAGAAATACTCGTTTTGCAATGTAAAGTAATTCATTTTCCCTTTTAGGATCTCAGTCTTCTTATATACAAAATGAAATACTTGAACCAGATGATTTTTGCCAGGTTGTTTGCTAATGTAACTTTCCAGAAAAACCCTTTGTCTACTAGTAATCAATGTAAGGAATATGACTCCTTTAGACAGTGTGTAGTAAACCTTCTTCTTCAATAGAAAAAACATTTCTATTGATCTTCACAGTATTAATTAATAAATCTTTGTTGCTTTTGCATAGTTCTATGATTTTAATTGGTATTATCTGACAATGAAAAATCAGTAAAATAAATTCCCTATCTTTTCCTTAAAAACCACAGTGCTTTAAAAGTGAGTTAGACTTTTGCCTCTTTTTTTGACTTATTTGTAATAATTCATACTGTCCTATCATGATTTTTTTAAAGTGACATTGATGTATGGGTACCAGAACCAGATCATTCAGAAGTTCCTGCTGAGTGGTGGGACTTTGATGCTGATAAGTCACTCCTTATTGGGGTGTTTAAACATGGTGAGTAAGAAGTATAATGTGTATGTGTAATATAATTCAGCTACTGCCCAATCTTTCACTGTCAGCTTTATTCTAATAATACCTTATGACATATACAGCATTAAAAGCATAGACCATCAAACTGAGTATCACTCACCATATTTCCCCATGAGAGGGTGGCATATGTGCCATGATCCTTCTGAATGTAAGTGCCACACAATTTCTTCTCAGAAAGAGTTCTTACATTTAATATATATATGTATATGATGCATCTATTCTATTTTTTTCTTCACATACACATTTCATCTAAAGTTCTATAAATATTATCAGACTGTATAATGTTTGTAATAATTTCTAGAAAATGTACCTAACCTATATCCTTTAAATATGTGGCTCATTTACTACGTGAATGTCATCCACCATAAATACAAGGAATACTTCATTTATACACCTTTGTTCTTTCTATCCTTTTTATTTTTGTAATTGGTGATTCTTCCAGGTTATGAAAAATATAACACTATCCGAGCAGACCCAGCATTATGCTTCTTAGAAAGGGTGGGAAAACCTGATGACAAAGCAGTTGCTGCAGAACAGAGAGCGAATGATTATATGGATGGGTATGTGCAGTTCAGAACCACAAATTCTCCATGTCTGTCTTCTGTTCAACATGAGACTATTCTTTTTAGTGAAGTTTATCTTTAAATGGCATAGAAATAAAACAATTAGAATTTACATTCTAAAGGACCTAATCATACACTAAGAACTTAGTCTATACTGGGGTTAAATCAAGGGTCTTGTGTGTGTTAAGCACATGCTCTGAGCTGCACCCTTACCCCATACTTGTTCTTTGGGCGAATCAATTACTTTCTTCACTTGAGCAGCAGTGTATCGTGACTATTTTGAGCATAAAATTTAAGAGGGAAAAAGAAAGTCAAGTATATTACAGTTCAAGAGGATTGTGATATCATTCATTATACCTGTTACAGGCCTTAAATAATCTTTCTTTTCTCACCAAAAGAGGAAAGTGGAAGACCTGAGGTTAGCAGTATTACATTCAAAATTGAACTTAGGAATAAAAGTACATTAGAACTAGCTTTCTTATTTGCCATATAGCAGCCTTCATGCAGATTTCAGTTTGATCTTTAAGACGTATTTAAAAAGTCCTTCCAATGAGGTTTCATTTGTTTGTTCTGTCAAGAGAAATCATAAGTCCATTATAGTAATTATGGTATTTGCTGTTACTTAAACAGGGATGTTGAAGATCCAGAATACAAGCCTGCCCCAGCCATCTTTAAAGATGATATAGAGGTATGCTTTAGATCATATTTTAAAATCCTCAGTTTTGGGTATTCCTTTTTGGCTTTTCTCCTCTGTGTTCTTCCTTCATCTGTTTTCAGTATAGATAATTCTTCTGTTCAGAAGATTAAATAAGTGATCAAATTGAATTGACAGAAATCACTTAGTCATTCAGAATTTGCCTAATCTTCCCCCTTAGACACAGTAAAAGTTGGTGTGGATATGTCTTAGAGCTAAGAAACACAGTATCCAAGGGCAAAATCCCAAAACAGAACAAAAAAGATACTAAAGGTATATACAGTAAACCAGGCATCAGTGGCTCATGTCTGTAATCCTATCTACTTGGGAGGCTGAGATCAGGAGGATTGTGGTTTAATGCTAGTCCTTGCCAATAGTTTATGAGACCCCCATCTCTAAAATAATGAGAGCAAAATGGATTGGAGGTTTGCTTCAAATAGTAGTGTGCTTTGCAGTTGCAAAGCCCTAGACCCTAGCCCCACCAAAAAAAAAAAAAGAAAGAAAGAAAGAAATACACAGCAAGAGGTAAAAACTATACCTATATAAAGAGGTCTGAAATAGAAGATAGAACCTAGAGGAATTCTCCACCACTGCAGCATAGATATAAGTGCTCTATTTATAGAATGTCAAAGGTAGAAGAGCTGGAGGAAAATATAGAAACTAATTTGTGGGGAAAAGGATGTTGAAAGAAATGAGGAATTTCTGTAATACTTATGAGAGCCAGACTTAATGATACTTCAGTTATCAAGTCGGTTTGCTCCCCCTGGTAGCTAAAAGGATGTGAATCAAGAGACAAGGCTCATTTCAGTGTTTGGCTGATGAGAACTGAAATACTGTATATATGAAGTCAGAACTTTGAAAGGCTAGTACTTTCTGACTAGCAAGCAAACTTAGTCACCTTGAGCTCTGGCTAAATAAAAATGCTGACTTTCCTGAGGATTTGTAATCATGGGACTGCCTTCTCTTGAGTTTATGATTTGATTCTTTTATTTCATCTGCATGATCCAAGAACCCTCAAGCCCAAAATATGCAACATAAGAAGAGGCTCTTGGCTAGTAATGTCCATGAGATACCTGTTTGTTTATTTTGTTAAAAGAAACTGTAAGAAACAACCTCAAATTTGCCCTAAAGATGAAGGCCTCCATAAAATGAGTGAATATCCAAAATTTTTAAACATACAATGAAAAATTACCAGGAATGAATGTTAGTATACAACAAAGAACAAGATAAGACCCTGGAGAATTTCAGATACTATACCGTAAAACGTTAATTATTAAGGAAAAATCCAGGAAGAAAAGAAAGAAGATTTTAAAAGACTGGGGAGGATGGGTGCCATGGTGTGCAGGTACTGAGGAAGCTGAGTCAGGAGGATCACTTGAGTCCAGGAATTCAAGTTCCTCCTGAACAAAATGTAATAAGACCCCATCTCAAGAAATAATTGAGTGAATAAAAAGAGTATGCTGATACAAAAAAAGAATTATGTATAACTTTTAAAAATGGAAAATACTGTAATGAGCATTTAAAACTCAATAATAGGTTAATCATTCTCCTGGACAAATTAGACATAATTCATGAGAGAAGAAATGATTTGGAAAATAGATCTGAAGAAATTATTCAAAATATAGCATAATGGGCCAATCAGGAGAGAGAGGCCACTTAGTAATTTGAACATGGAAATTTTGTTTGTTATTTGTTGTATTTTGGGTTTTTTTGTAGTACTAAGGTTTAAACTCAGGGCCTTGTGCTTGCTGTGCCAGTGCTATACCACTTGAGCCACACCTCCAGCCCAGATTGGATAGTAAAAATTAAAAACTCTTGGGAATATAGTAATAGAAAATAGAAGTAATATCTGTCACTTCTAGGGCTCAGATACGAGTACATAAGAACCTCATTCCCAAAAGGGGATTCAGCCCTTTTGTTGGGAAGACTTGACATAACTAATTGGATGGCAAAATATTACTGTGCTGTCACACAGTGCAACTTGCTGGACATTCACTCCCTGGAATGAGCTGGAAATCTGCCCTCTACAGTTGCCAAGAATACTTGGCTGGGAATGTGCCTGACTGTGAGCACTCTGCTATAAATCATCCAAGATAGAAGTTGCTAGGCACAGCTGCTGGCCAGTAGACACTAAAGAAGCTGCTCAAGTTGCTGGAACTGGACAACTGGGGGCAAAGGCTGTGTTGTGGGTGCTGGCAATGGCTCATCAGAACTAGGAAGTTAAACCCTTTTTCTCCTGTGGATCTGTCTAGTTTCCTCTGTTAACAAAACTAAACATACTATCTGGCAGGGAAAAAATAATTAAAGAGCTCAGAGGCAATAAATTTGGAGCAGAGGCAGTTAATCAATAGCCAGCCAATGGACTATGTGAAAAATATTTTAGAAACCAAGATAGCATGAGAATGTTTGGCATATATTTAATAAATATTCCAGAGGAATAAGTAGAGAGAATAAGGAAGAAGCACTATTTGAAGAGATAGTCGCTGAAAAATTTTCAGAAATTGAAAGATATGAATCCTCAGATTTAAAAAATAAAATGAACCTTGACAAGATAAGTAAAGTAATCCTGGTGAAACTACAGATGTTTCAGAGAAAATGTTAAAAGCTCACCCACAAAGAATTAGGATAATTCTAACCTTAGGTTTTTCTAAAACAACAATAGAAATTAGTAGTCATTGAACTGAATTGCCAAAGTTTTAAATATTAAGTTTAAGATAACACTGGATACCTAATTGACGATGCTCTGTTGACAGGTAGAAGTTATCTGTAAAATACAAGCAAACAAAAAGAAAAGATTTGCAGGTTGCCAAATATGAGAATGAATAAATTATCTGAGAGTTGTTACACAAAAGGGAAAAAGCCCAGTTTATCAATAAAAACTAAGGTATGGTCACAGTGAGAAAAAAAACTGGCTTAAATAATTATAGAAAAGAAAATAATTTTAGTAAATAGTAACTGGTTGAGAGTATCAGAGGCAATACAGAAATGTGAAAGTGAGAACTGAGAACAAGGAATTCCAAGTTTTATTTTTGATGAATTGAACATTAAAAACTCTGTTGCTGGACTAAGAATATAGTTCAGTGAGTCCTTGGGTTCATTCCCCAGCACAGGGAAAAAAAAAAAATTCTATTGCAAAAAAATGTTCTCTATTATAAAGAAGTTTGGTTCTCTGTTCTTATTTTATCTTTTTAAAAACTTTTTAATTAGTATATGAATGGTAGTTGTACAGGGGGTTTTGTTATGAGGTTATATTTATCTTGATTTAATTGCCCTGTGACAAATTTATTTTATTGATTTTTTTTTTTTTTTTAAGGATGATGTTTCTTCACCCGGGGATCTTGTTATAGCAGATGGAGGTAAATTGCATTTACTTCTTAACTTACTGTTGTAAATTCACATTGTCATGATACTGTGAGATTAATAAATAATTATACTTTTTAATACCTCTTAATACATATGAATTTTTAATTGCATACAATTGTAATTATCATAGAATATACTAATTGAGAATTTAGCAATACTTTTATCTGTTGCAAATCTTTTTGCAGTCACTTGCGGAACTTTTATAGAATAGAGGCTTTGATGACTTTATGACTTAATTATTAAACTTGTATGTGAAATTTCACCATTAAAATGTTGTGCAATAATACATTCAGTTTCTTTTTAGTTCCATATGTACATTAAGAATCATTCTTTATATCCAGTTTCTACAAAGCCTTTCTGAATAGTCTGCTGCTACTTCCTTCTCATATTTAAGAAACTCACTGTTGATGGAGTACACTCATCCCTACCTGAGGTCCAGGAAAAAGAAGGAGTTGCTTAGTATACATAATTACAATATTATACCTTGTAAATAAAGAGTTAGATCTTGCATCTTATTAGGTGAATAAAAGCTTAAAAGCTACAGCATTATCATAGTGAATTTTTAAAATGTAATGTTCCCACCTAATGACTTTTAAAAAGTTTTCATTATAATGAAATAAATTCAGTGCAGAGAGCTTCAACTAGAAGCATTTATAGTATTCAACTTGTCATTAGTTTCAGTTTAGCTTGCAATTTATTAAGTTAAGGCATTGAGTACTTGCAAACTAGCATGAAGTATTAGTCCTGGAAATCCAAGAGTTGTATTTCCTGTGCAGGTTAAATTCCCTTTAAATAGATAACATTCTGGTTCTTTATATCATTGTATTTTACTCTCTTTCAATGACTCTTAACAGTTTATTGTATTTTTTTAGAGCTATAGTTAAAACAAGAATTTTTAATGATGAAAAAGTTTGTTGGTCTTTTTTCTCCACAACATCAGATTGAAGAAAAATAAATATTTTTTGTGGTACTGGAGTTTGAACTCGGGGCCTTGTGCTTGCTATACAAGTGCTCTTCCACTTGATCCATGCCTTCAATCCTTTGTGCTTTAGGTTATTTTTTAGATAGAGTCTTGGAGGTTTTGTTTTGTTTTAACCTGGGACTGCCCTAGATAGCAATCCTCTTAAGTGATCTCTTGCCTCTGTTCTCCTGCATAGTGGAACCACAGGAGCATACCACCACACCCAGCTTATTTATTGAGATGGGGTCACTTAACTTTTTGCCCAGGCTGGCTTTGAACTACAGTCCTCCCATTCTCTGCCTGTCACGTAGCTGGGATTATAGACCTGAGCAATAATGACTAGCCAATTTTTTTTCTACTTTTGTAAGCTTCATACAGTATCCTTTTAGTATTTTTATTTTATTATTGTTGACGTGAGTTTCTTTAAATATAGATGGTCAACTGATGGAAGGGGATAAAGTTTATTGGCCTACTCAATCAGCTTTAACCACACGATTGAGACGTCTCATCACTGCATACCAGCGTACTACCAAAAACAGACAAATCCAGCAAATACAACCATCGTTGTCAATGCCTGCCAGTGTGATGCAGCCTCTTTATGAAGAAGCCACTCTTAACCCTAAAGTGGCAGCCAAGATAGAAAGACAGCAGAGGTAAGACAATAGTTCTAAGTTTTTAACATATAGATTCTCAATATATAAATACATACATACACACACACACATGTATTTATCTATATTTATTTGTTCATTCTAAAGGCCACCAGTGTTGTGTTTATTGTGCTGGTTGGTTATCATAAAATGCTTGTGCACATATATATACATTCACACACTTGTATGTGTAGCATTATGGTTAAACTTACGAAGGTTATTGTATCTCATAGTCACTATCCATACTTCATATTTAATCACTTTTGTCATTTTTAAGGAAGAATTTAAGAAATAAAGGCACAAAACAAACCTACCAGAATTTAAATTATCAATTATAGTTAACAATTATATGAAACAAATTTCATCGTATCTTATTTTAGGAAATATAAGAATATATGGAAGGCATATCTACCTCTCCTTTGTATGAGAATGAACCTTTGGAACTACTGATGTCAAAGAAAAGAAATTGCAAGGGACCTTGTTAAGAAGACAGGCAAACTTCTCTTATCCCAAAAGCTTTGGCTTCTTAGAAACAATAGAGTTCATGGGAAAGAATAGCAATGTTTATCAGTAACCTAGTATCCTTGGATGTTTTCTGGAAACTAAATCATTATTCTGTTTCCTGGGCAACACATTTATTATAGCTAGAATTTAGTTAGTATGAAACTTAATATTTTAATTGTCATAGCCATAATTTTCAAATATTATTACTCTTGTAAATACATTGTTTCAGTTATAAATTGATACATAACAAAATAGCTTTAGTTTTTCTCTGGATTCTATGAGTTGACCAAGTTTTTTCTGCCCTTGTGCTATTGGCTGGGGTTCTGAAACAGCCTTTTTCAGAGGTTGGTGTTAGCTGCCAGTTGGGAGCTCAGATTCTAAGAGAGATCATGCCAGTAGCAAAGGCAGAGACTGCAAGTTTCATAAGGCCCCATCTCATTAGTTTTAAAATGTCACTTCTGCCACCTTTTCTTGGTTAATATGGCCAGCCTGAATTTGAGAGAAAGGGAAATAGATTCTACCTCTCAATGGAAAGAGTAGCAAAAAAAAATCTATGCACTCTTCAGTGTACTATTTAACAGTTTCCCTTCCTAAAATAGTAGTTTTATCATGACATTGCTCCTTATGTAAAATAGACATAAATGTTATGTTCTTAAGCCTAAATTCAAAAGTTTCTTCAGTTAAGTTTTAGTTTACATTGCTAACTTTATCCACTACAATTCTCTCAGCCACAATTTCCTCCTTAGTCTTGACTCAGTACCTCAGTTAATGTTGTTCGTATTATCAAAAATTCCCTTTTTCCTACCTTCTAGTCCACATATATTCCACCCTTCAGAACTGAGCACATGGCCCATCTGATTTTCTCAACTGGATCATAGGATTCCCTCCTTTTTCTGCACTCATCATAATAAGATACTGTAATGACATTTATCTTTTCCTTTCTATGTCTTGGCTTTCGAAGTTGTAAATTCTGTGAGGGTAAACCCTGTGTCATATATTTTCTGTCCTGCAGAATCTTTCAATACATGTTTCTTTTCTACTTCTTCTTATCATCCATGTCTACAGTTCATATGATCTGGTTGGCTTCCCAAGCTGTTTTCACATCCTTAATTGCATTAATCTTCTTAATATATAACTATGATAAAAATGTCCCATTAACATTTTTCAAAGATCTTTTCCATATGCTTTTTCTTATTAGTGCAATTAAGTAAGTTAAGCAAGAAAACCATTCTACAAATGGAGATATTTAAGTTTAGAGATGTGTTGCAGTATCACAAACTTTGACCTGAAAGAGATTACTTTTAGCCAGAACATTTCATAATTTGCTGACAGTTTCTTTTGCTTTGTCCCCAGTATGAGCCGTGTTCTTGTTTGGAATACTCATCAGCCACTCAAGATGCAGAGTACTTACTACTTTTGTTTTTCTATACACTCTTTCTATCATTCCTTCTCCCCAGTCTTAACTTTGTTCCATCTTACTCTGCAAAATGACATAACTTTGTGATGCTTTTCTTGATTGCTTAAATCTGAACTGATCCTCCAGTCTTCCATGCTCTAAAATTCTTTGTTTCCATAACTCATACCACAATAAATACTACTTTGTACTATAATGTGCCTGAAAATATTTTATTTTTCCTTAAAAGTAGTCTTCTTGTATAACTTTGCATCCTATGCATATTTTATCAATAAATGTACACAACCTATTGTCATTGTGTGAAGAAACACTGTATATTAAAAGAAGTATGATTAGTTAGTTCAGCCAACTAGAATATTAAAATGTATTAAGATTAAAATCAGGGCTTTTATAGGTTAGGGATTCTAAATGTTTAAGTTTATATTATAGTAATTATTTTTGCTATTAATAAATGTTTATTTTCATGGTTGATGTGGTTTTTATTCCTTTAATCTGATTAAAAATAGATGGACAAGAAGAGAAGAAGCTGATTTTTATAGAGTTGTATCTACATTTGGCGTAGTCTTCGACCCTGACAGAGGCCGATTTGACTGGACAAAATTTCGAGCTATGGCTCGGCTACACAAGAAAACTGATGATAGTTTGGAAAAGTATTTATACGCATTTGTGTCTATGTGTCGGAGGGTTTGTCGTCTTCCTTCCAAAGAAGGTACATGTCAGTGCTAAAGTTTGAACTTTGATCTTGCTAGGCAGGTGCTCTACTGTTCGAGACCCATCTCCAGCCCTTTTTGCTGTGATTATTTTGCTTTGGTTATTTTGCCCAGGTTGGTATGGACTACAGTCCTCCTATTTTAAGCTTCCTGCCTTTGCTGAGATGACAGGCACATGCCACCACACCCAGCTTTTCTCCCCCATTTGAAATGGGGTCTCACGAACATTTTTTTGCCCAAGCCAGTTTGGCACCAAGATTTTCCGGATCTCAACCTTACAAGTAGCTAAGATTACAGGCATGAGCCACTAGTAGCCAGATTTTTTCATTTTTTAGCAGTACCTTTGTTTGAACTCAGGGCCTACTTGATTGCTAAGCAGGTGTTCTACCATTTGAACCATGCCCTTTTCTACCCTTGTTTTGGTCAAAGAAGAAATATCACTAAGATTCAGAAATTTCCAATTTTTAAGAATAAATAAACTATCCTTTCATATCCCCGTTCCTTAATCCTACTATTAAAATGAAAAAGAAAATAAAAATAGACATCTTATTTTAAGAACCTAACTTGTATTTCATGATAGTCTTATGACTAAGGGGAAGATGAAAGATAAATGATAACTTTTGGTAAACAGAATTAACCATCTTATAGGAACTGTGTGAAAAGGGATTATTTACCTGAATAACTTTGTAAGAAATGAGGCCCCCACTCTTCAGACATGTTAAAGAATTTTGGTGTGTGAGATATTTTAAAAAAAGATAACAAGTAAGTTAATGAACTGCTCAGCTAAGGAACTGTTTTGGGATAATTTCATTGTCTGAAAAGCCCAGAGAAAATAGCTCACCCTGTCAGTAGTTCCTCTCAGTAACCCTATGTTATAAGCAGTTATTTCTTTTATTAAATATGATTTCTAACTGCTAATCCCAGTGGTCTCTTATTTTTATTTTATAGCCAAAATATAGTGCCTTATTAAAAAGCCTTAAAATTTCATATTTCTTATTTTAGTTTTATTCTGTGACAGATTAGTTGTCAGTCTGCTGAATAAAGTAGCTTCACCAAAATACCAGGTAATTCAGTTTAGGTATCGGTCTGCTTTCAGGTCTGCTGGAAGACCAGAAAAGAGTTTAACAGTCAGAAAAAAACAAAGTATTGTCTTTTGTTATTTATGGTTACCAAGAATCTAATTTCTTTTCTGTTTTCTTAATTGCCACTAGCAATATAGTGATGGGAATAAATCCATCACTTTTCAGTCTAGTTTTAAAAGAGAAGAGAAAAGTCTAATTATTAAATAATCATTGAAAAGATAGGGCTTTCTTTTCAGAAACGTTAGTAAAGTTTTACTTTGATCAGAATTTCTCTAATTTCCTCAGTTCACAGTAACCTTAATGTTAAGGCCAAAATAAATACCTGACAGTTCTGTTTAATGAATAATTAAGTCTAAACAACCTAATATGTGTTTGTGTCCTAATAATCTAGTGATTGCTTGAAAACATAACAAATATTAAAGGAAAACATAATATTTTTATTTCTATCTTAAGTAACAATTGCTTGGTAATGAGATGTATGCACCCACTGGGCACTATATAGATTCTCAAGTCTTCCTTGTAGTCTGGATACTTCCACCATTGTTTCCTGTTCCGTAAAAAAATCCTGGATTTAAAAAAAACTTTTTTTCATTTTTAACTACTTTTAGATTTACCAAAAAATTACAAGAACACAGGAACCTTCCATACATCTTCCACTCTGACTAATGTTAAAATCTATATGACTTATTATGACTGTCAGTTCAGGAAATTAATGTTAGTACAATGCCATTAACTAAATACAACCATTCTCCCCACTCATAGGAGATTGGTTCTAGGACCCCTGATAATCCTTAAATCTGAGGATGCTCCAGTCCGTATATAAAATGGGTAATATTTGCATATAACCCGTGCATCATCCTATAGACTTTAAATTGTCTCTATATTACTTATACTAGTAATATAGTAAAAATGCTAAACAAGTAGTTTTTATTCTGCATTGTTTAGGGAATAGTGACAATGGAAAAAAATCCATATATGTCTGGTACAGACACAATTTTTATCCTCCAAATATTTTCAGTATGATGTTCGTTAAATCCATAGGTGCAGAACCCATTAATCTAGAGGCCTGACTGTACCTATTGGAATTTTAAGTTTTTCCGCTGATGTTTACGTTAGGGGTTTTATTGTTCCTTGTTCTTTTTTTTGTTCTAAGACAGAGTCTCACTGTGTATCCCAGGCTGGGCTTGAACTCCTTTTAAAGCCAGGCTGGCCTTGAATTCATGATCCTTTTGCATCAGTCTATTGAGTGCTGGAATTGCATTTTAGATGTTGCATGGTTTGTTTTAAATCTTTAATGAGGTATTTTTGAGGTTAATATTTTCACCCTTGTTTCAATTTAGAATTGGTGGATCCAAATATTTTTATCCAACCAATCACAGAGGAGCGTGCATCTAGGACTTTGTACCGCATTGAGCTTCTAAGAAAAGTACGGGAGCAGGCCCTTCGACATCCACAACTATTTGAACGCTTGAAGCTTTGCCATCCAAACCCAGACTTACCAGTCTGGTGGGAATGTGGCCCTCATGATAGAGATTTGCTTATTGGCGCTGCTAAACATGGAGTGAGCCGAACAGACTATCACATTCTTCGTGATCCTGAACTCTCATTTATGACAGCTCAAAGGAACTACAGTCAAAGTAAGATGGCTCATTCAAGGACTTCTACTCCACTTTTACAGCAATATCAAGTAGCACTTTCTGCTTCTCCTCTTACCTCTCTACCTAGGCTCCTAGATGCTAAAGGTATTATTCTAGAGGATATGAAAGTTAAAACTGAAAACCTTAAAGAAGAACCTCAGTCTTCTGAAGAAGAATCTATGTCTTCTGTGGAAACCAGGACACTAATAAAGTCTGAGCCTGTAAGTCCAAAGAATGGTGTTTTATCACAGGCTACTGGAGACCAGAAATCTGGTGGAAAAGGTGAAACAGACAGACGCATGGTTGCAGCCAGAACAGAACCCCTAACTCCAAACCCAGCTTCTAAGAAACAAAGAGTCCACAAAAGAGGGTCAGAATCTAGTTCTGATTCTGACTCTGAGTCTGAGAGATCATCCTGTTCTTCCAGATCATCTTCTTCTTCGTCTTCCTCCTCTTCTTGTTCCCATTCTCGATCAGGCTCTAGTTCTTCTTCATCCTCATCTTGTTCTTCAGCATCTTCTTCATCCTCTTCTTCTTCCTCTTCATCATCATCATCTTCTTCATCTTCATCAGAAGAAAGTGACAGTGAAGAAGAGGAAGTCCAAAAGCGAGGTATATGCATAAAGTAATTTGCTATTTTTATGACAGTTTTCAAGTGAAAATGAAAAGAACTTGATTCAGATAACTTAAGCATATGTAAAATTGTTAAATTTTGTGCCTTAAGTTTTCTTTTAAAAAGAACTATTGAAAAGGAAACTACAATTACTGGTATACACTCCCTATTTAATATTTAAAGGCATGGCAACATAGATTAGTGAAAAGAATTAGAAACTTTGTGCAATAGCTTTATTTCCTTGTAATTGCCTTAAATTTAGTATTATATTTTTCCTTGGAATAAGTTGACTAGTGAACAAATAAAAGGAAGTATTATATAGTAGTCACCAGGAATCTTAGACAAACAAGAGTAACCTAGGCCATACCTGACACCTATCTACTCAAAAGGATATAGGATAAAAACTTCAGTTTGTCAGTAGAGTAGTATTTGATTGTTCTCTTCTGCAAGTATCTTTGCAGCAGATACTTTTCACATGTAAAAAAATGACTAAACATCAAGCATGTATGGAGCCACTCTGGCTTATAGAGAGCATCATGCCCCACAGGAGCCAAAGTCTTGTAACAACTCCCCAGTCATAACTTTCATGGTTGCCCATGAAAACTTGGAAGGAATATGCCCAATTATAAGAGTCACTTCATCTAGAGAATTGGGTCTCCCCATCAGATATTTACATTCTTCCCAGTTTAGATGAAGTCTTCCAATCAAGATATATTCTAAAACTACTAGTTACTTTATTGTAGGCGAATTTTTTCCTTTTGTTAAACATTTTTTTCTGCCATTTAACTTTGCTTTTTCATTTTCAAATATTTCTGAACAATTATATAAGATTTTGAACCTATATATAAATTTGTTTTATGCTAGTCTTTTAAAAATATTTATAATTGTTCCTAGCAGAAGGCACCTCTCACATGAAAGCCTATGATGAAGAAAGTGTTGCATCATTGAGCACTACTCAGGATGAGACCCAGGATAGTTTCCAAGCAAATAATGGGATACCAGAGCCTGCTTACCTCTTACAAGGTGGATACATGCTGGCAGCCTCATATTGGCCAAAGGTGAAGGAATAATTTATTTTTGGGGAAGGTCATTTTCTTAGTGGTTTTATATATAGCTTTGGTCTGAGGTATTCTTATTATGTGGAAAAATAGGTCAGTGTAAAATGTAGGATGATATTTTGGTATTACCATGAAAAGTATAAATTATTACTATCATTAAATTAGTTGTATTTAAATGTGTATACTTCTCAACACAACTTTAGAATGTGTAGAATAAAGGATAATCCTCACAATTCAAGTTAATATTCAAGTGCTTCTTTATGAAATAGGTGCTTTCAACTGAATCTCCTTGAAGAAATTTATAGTTGCCAGTTGTGATCTACAAAAAAACACAAATGTACATTCAATGGTAATAGCAGTTAAGACTGAATTAATGCAGTTTTCCCTCCATGTGACTAAACTAGTACAGTAATACTTTAAGAATAAGTAAAAGGTTGGGGTGTGAGAAATGGAGGATTCTGTACTCTTCATATTCTGCTAGGCTTTTTTTTTTTTTTATGAACCCATATTCCCTTTATTATAAAAACAAAATAATTGAAATTATCTTTGTATGGCATAATATTTTTGAACTTCACATAAGAGAAGTATCTGAATAACTTACAGAATTGTAATTTTATGTATGCAAGACTGTGTGTGTGCATACTATATACTCTGTTTTACCAGGTGTACATCATTAGGGCTGTTGGACGATTTGATTTCCAAAGGCTCTCCTAATTTTTAAAATTATACTTTGGTATGCTTTTCTAGGATCGAGTGATGATCAACCGGTTGGACAGTATTTGTCAAACAGTTCTGAAAGGGAGGTGGCCGTCATCTAGAAGAAGTTATGATGCTAACACAGTGGCTTCTTTCTATACCACAAAACTGCTGGACAGCCCTGGAGCAGCTACAGAATATAGCGAGCCCAGTGTTCCCACTCCCCCAGGTGCTGGTGTCAAAGAAGAACATGATCAGTCAGCACAGATGTCAAAGGTGAAGAAGCATGTACGAGAAAAGGAGTTTACAGTGAAAATCAAAGACGTATGTGTATTTTTATTGCCCTAGGGCCTGATTGCAATTGCGGTGTGCAGCATGCTTTTCCCGCAAATGGCTGCCTGCTCTTACTCTTCTTTCCTTCACATACTTGTCTCCTGGTATTTGGTTTATTTTCTTTTTTGATATCCAGGTTGTTAAACTTGAATATTCCACTAGAAGGATCATCATTAAATATGTTTCTCTCCTTATACTTCTGAAAATTGTTCTTCTGCTGATGGAGATGCTTTCTTAAACAGTGTGGCAATTTCTAAGTGTTTTGATTCTTTTATATGATATTTAAGTGGTATGTCAATGAACTTTCCCTTTTAAACATTTAGCATTCCCTCTTACCAGTAATGTTCCTCTTAATATGGTCTTTGAAGCTTAACTGATTATATGGGTCATGTCCTCTAAGATTCATTTGAATAGTGTATCTAGAAATGTATGTCTGAAGCTGAAAATGCTTCACATGAAATAGTCACATGAAAAACTTTATTTTGCTCAGCAAAGTGTATATGGTACTTGAATTTTTTTTTAATTTAAGATAGAAATTGTAGTATTCATTATAGAAGTTGATTAAGGTATTTTATTCTATTGATTTATGATTTATGGTTTGGGGGCCTGAATATTTGTATGGAGACATCATTTTGTCAAGTAGCTTTATACAGATAAAAGTTGAAAGCCAGGCACATTAGTTGAAGCCTATAATCCTAGCTACTCAGGAGGATCACAGTTGGAGACCAGCCAGGCAAAAAGTTCATAATACCCCATCTCAACCAATAAAAGCCATGTGCAGTGTCACATGCATGTATGTGATCCCAGCTATGGGGGAAGTGTAATAGGAGGATTGTGGTCCAGGCCTTATCCCAAACTTCATTAGTGTTTCAGGAGTTTTACTTCACTTTCTTTAAGTAAAAAAATAATCTTAATATCCTGTAGTAAGATTTTTGTTAACACTTTCTGTCTTAAAATTGATAATTTTTTTAACAGGAAGGTGGTTTGAAGTTGACGTTTCAGAAGCAGGGACTTGCACAGAAAAGACCTTTTGATAGTGAAGATGGAGCCCTGGGGCAGCAACAGTACCTCACCCGACTTCGGGAGCTTCAAAGTGCATCAGAGACAAGCCTTGTCAATTTTCCAAAATCTATGCCACTGTCCAGTGAGTGTGCAAGAAATAATTATCTTATTATGAAATATTCTCTACCACTTCCAAATCATCTTTTAGACTCATAGCAAAAATTCATTTTTGCTTTAAGGTTGGAACACTTCTTAACTCCAAGTAATCAATATAATTTTAAATCTAAAGAATTATTTATTGGAGCTTTTACTATGACATTTAAATGACAGGGGATAGTTTGGTTTGGGGGCCTGTATATTTGTGTGGAGACATAATTTTGTCAAGTAGCCTTATATAGATAAAATTTAAAAGCCAGGCTCATTAGTTCATGCCTGTAATCCTAGCTGCTCAGGAGGCAGAGATCAGGAGGATCGCAGTTGTAGGCCAGCCAGGGGAAAAAAGTTCATAATATCCCATCCCAACTAATAAAAGCCATGTGCAGTGTCATATTCATGTGAACCCAGCTATGTAATAGGAGGATTGTGGTCCAGGCCTTATCCCAAAAATAACTAAAGGAAAATGAGCTGAAGACATGGCTCAGGTGACAGAGTACCTATCTAATAAGTGCAAGGCAAAACAAAAATGTTCAAAAAGCATATTGTGAATTTACAAACAAAACACCTAAATCACAAATGAATTGCAGAAAGATTTTGCAATAGTATACTCCAGGTAACTGTAGGAAACCATAATTATTTATTTCTAATTCCCAAAAATCTACCTTTCATCCTCATGGAGTTCTTACAGGAACAAAGTTCTTACTATTTCAAATAGTCCTTTTTAGTGTTTGACAGCTCTAATTATCAGAAATTTTCTTACTTAGAAGTAAATTTTGCCTGCTATAGATTATTCTCAATGATTGACATTCTCCCTTTAAGAAAAGCAATGCAGAATTAACCCTGGCCTATGTCTGTATCTTGGAAGCAGTGATTGTATCTCCACCTGGGACTATCTATATTTCTTCTAACCTCAAATCAATTGAATAAACACTTATGTACTGATTAACTGATTTGTGCTATATGCTATGTGCCCTCCACTGAAGGATACACTAGACATTGCTTTTATTTTGGCCTAGTTATACTTTATCTGTGTCCTTCTTAAAAGTGTCAAGAATTGAGAATGATGCTGGACATCAGCTGAGTCTCAGTGTATTAATTATAGCATACTAACCCTACGAAATACCTGTTTCCAATTAAAGCAGGTAAATGAGTTTCCTTCCTTATGCATAAAGCTAAGGACTCTGTTTCAGTGGTATACTTAGTCTGGTTGCCATGCTATACTGGAAACATTTCAAAACTCCTACTGGACATATGTGTGCATAGTGTGTGGAATACCTATAATTTGGGTAAATAAGGCTTTATTATAATATCACTTTTCCATTTGCTACTATTGCCACATTTTTTATTAGTTTTAACTAATTATAAATTAGTTCAACTTCATCAGCATCAATTTGGTCTCTTAATAGATTCATTAACCATTCAGTATAATTTTCCAATTACTAAATTTTCAGACATGTAAGAATTGCACTTCAAATATGAATCTGCCATACTATTACCTTTGGTATAATCCTCCAAATTATGTTTTTTACCATGACAGTTTTTGTCAAAGAACTCCTTGATCAGATGGAAACAGATGGATGAAAGAAGCTGTGTGGTCTTTTGTCCAACCTAAGTGGTGTTATTTAATCCACTACTCTTACTCTGATAGCTACACATAAATGGATTGATACTTACATTAGCTGAAGCTCTTATTGTTTTTGCAG